GAGAGAGAGAGAGAGAGAGAGAGAAATAGAGGAGGTTATAACATTTTTGGGGGTGATTTTTCTCAATTAGCCCAGCCTCTATTGTGTTTTTATGTACACATGTATAATTATTAGATGTGTGTGTGTGTGTGTTATCCAACAGTGTGTTGACGATCATGAAGTACATAAAAGCGACCCCCGATCACAGTCAGTCTTCAGATGGGGTGAACAAACAAACCAACGGGGGGAGGTAAGAGGAGACGCACAATAACTATGTGGCTGTCATCAACATTGACATTGTTATTATATATGAGGCAGCACGGTGGAATCAGGCTCGTTTTTGGGCATATTGAGTTATTGGTATCATCTTAAAGCGTGTTCGTTTGTCTTTGCTTTCAATGAAAAGATTACCCATCCATTCAATAGAAGATGATATATTTTGGATTGAACAAAATGGGGGTCACCAGGTTTAAGAGGTAAAATTAGCGAGAAAATGGCTGCTAAAGCTAGGTAAATTCCAAAACTGGAAAGTCCAAGGAAACTGTAACTTTATATTTGTGTGCCTTTAATCAACGTTTTCGGTGAAATCCTCAAAGGAATGTGTTTGTAAATGGACATAAAAGGTGATAAATTTGATAAAAATTGCTAAGCAAGGAGAAAACTGTTGTTTTCTTCGATTTCATTATTTGACGAGAGCCTGATTCCACCACGCTGCCTCACATATATTATTTTCTTGGGAGCAGAGGTTTTAGTATCTAGCTACGCGTGTTTCGGAGTGGAAATAGATACATTGGTTGTTGTTAGGGTTGGTTTTTCGTGTGTTTGGTGTTTGGGGGAAAGGGGGGGGGGAGGGAGAGGAATTGAGGGCTGACATCTTAAATAGTCTAAAACTGTTTTGTGATCTTTTTGCATGTACATATTGTCTGTTCCGTTTATAACTAGTCGATGAAATAGTGACACAAACATTCGCTTCTATTTCTGTTTCTTTTTTTTAAAAATGTGTTTGGTTGTTATTTTTTTCAATAGGGGGAGCTAGTTTGGGGTGGTGAAGGTGGTGAAGATGGTGAGGGTAGTGCGGGTGGTCAGCAAGTAAGAATGAATGATTTGGTTCAACATAGAAGCTGATGTGAATTTATGCAAGCATTTTTTTTAAAAAAGGTTAAAATACAAAGACATGAAAACTCTAAAACGTACGTACATTGACAGGGGTGACGATGACGGTGATGAGAAGGACTGTAACAACCAGGACAACTCTCCTTCCTCTCTCAGAGACACAGACGATGATGACGCTAAGGACGATAACAAAAACGCTAAAGACGTAAATAACGATGGCTCCACAGAGATAACAAGGTGTGCTATAACTATTTGTAGATTACATATTACATATAATTTAAATCTTTAATATTAAGGTAATTCTGATGGGTCGAGATCCATAACTGTTCCTGAACCGAAGTCTGAGCTCAGCTTAGATTCATAATCTAACTTCATTTGGATAAAGGGAAGTACTATGCAGACTAAAAAGAACGTTAACTAGTATTCGGCGAATATTAAGATAGACAGAAATAACAGATAGACTGAGACGTAGGACATACCTGTTGGGCCTTCTAGCAGTTTGATTTTAGGATAAGTCGAAGATTTTTTGGGGGTGGAAAGGGTTTTAATTAAAATGAAAGCTCTTACCATCTTCATTCTCTTTTTAATATATAGATTTATGTGACTTTACAACAGCTTCTGTGGTTGACAAACCGTAAATTGTGCTTTGAAAGTCCACTTCTTCTAACTGTTGTAGGCCTACAGAGTTTCAGCTAATCGTCGCGTCACCTTTTCAACAAATACTCCATTTTATTTGTTTATCTTATCTATGGAACCGACACACGATGTGCTTTGTTCCAAATTGAAATATTCCCATGAGAATCTTGATATCACGGAACAATCTCGTATATATTATTGCTATTTCTGTTGTTACTGATAGGGAAAACATTATTAATACCCATGTCAAGCAGCACTGTTGTTACCAAAATAAACTGTCCCTCAACATTTAGTTTTTGGGGGCGATTTTTTAACATTTCTTATTCGTTTTATTTCTTTTAATCCCTGAAGTCAGACAAATTGAGTAAAACATAAATATGGTTGCTATTTAGAAACAGTGCGGCAAGTAATCATGATCAAATTGGCATCCACAAATAAAAATCTTGCCAAAATGGACGTCTCCCTTATGTACATTGAACAAATCGAATTAGGGAGGGTATGAGTTACATTACCGAGTGGGGGATGTGTCGTTTTTATTAACATCTTCACTCATAATATGTACGGACGCATGCACGCTCTCGTGTTTTCTGAAACCGATATTCTCTACTGTTTTTCTACTAGATCTAGTGTGTGGTTTTTTTTTTTCCAGTTAAATATTTACAGTCCGTTCAGTTGCTTGACCAGGGTATAGGGGAAGTATTACAGTTTTGTTCAAATCTCTATTGAGTGAACATTAATAGTAATAGTAATTTGTCTTTTTTTCAATCTCTATTGAATGAACAGTAACAGTAATTTTTCTTTGTTCAAATCTCTATTGATCGAACATTAACAGGAATTTGTCTTTGTTTAAATCTCTATTGAATGAACATTAATAGTAATGTGTCTAGTCTGCCCAAACAGAGAAGAAAATATATCAGTAGTGAAGGGGTTTATCACATACAGGTAATTACGTCTGTCTTCTGAGATACTGTATCCCACTTTGCGTAAGTTGGCCCAGAGAGGCAAAGTCGAACCAACCCGTCTTCGAAATGATATAAAGCTATGGGGGACATAAAACATCCCTCTTCGTCAGGTATCAGGTCTGGAGCAGACACTGACGATCATGGCACCCCATTCCTTTCTGTTGTCGGTCCCCCTGATTAGCTCTGTTTTCTACTAGTTCTATTTCTTGCAAAGTTGTTCAAATCATCTGTGTATGCTGGTTTTTGCCTTCCTCTGCTCTTCGTTCTCTCTATCTAAACAAAAATAAAAAATAAAACATTGAAAAGACTGAAAAAATATAATTAACTGTGAGCGTGTGTGGTTGGCGGTTGTCTAGTGTGGTTTGCTCCCTCTTTCCTACCAAAAGCTATCGACCTTCTCTCCTCCTCTTTTTTGTGTTTGTTGCTCTCTTGTATCACTTCTAATCTTCGGCACTTATATGAACTTATTGTGTTGCAAATGCCGTAAAACTCTTATTACAACTAAACATCTATCGTCCTAATCTCTCCTACTTCTTTGTGTTTTTTAATCTCTTGTAACTCCCTTAATCTCCGGCACCTATATGACTTTATTGTGTTTGCCAGTGCCGTAAAACTCTTCCTAAATCACAAACATTAAGTGTTCTGTTCCTCCCAGGCGCACCAAGCGACGTACCCGGAAGAAGGCGGCCAGCGAGGAGGGGCCAGAGCGCAGGTTTGTGGAGCTCTTGTGTCCTGAGGTGGGGATAAAGCTGAGGGACAGAGTCAAGGAGCTCACTGAGCCGGGGAAAGGCGTTCTTGACAGTGAGTGGAGATCTTTGCTGTTGTTGTTGGTGGTGGTGATGGTGATGCTATTGTTGTTGTTGTTGTTGTTGTTGTTGTTGTTGTTGTTGTTGTTGTTGTCGTCGGCTGTGCTGTTGTGTCCCGAGGTGGAGAGAGAAGGCTGCAGGACAGAGTCAAGGAAAGGCGTTCTGGACAGTGAGTGGGGATTTGTTGTTATTGTTGATTTTGTTGAGGTTGTAGTAGTTGTTGTTGTTGATGCTGTTGTTGTTGCTCTTGTTGTTGTTGCTATTGTTGTTGCTACTGTTGCTGCTGTTGTTCTTGCTGTTGTTATTGCTGCTGCTGTTTGTTGTTGTTGTTGTTGTTCTAGTGTGTGATATAATGTTGTTGATGCTATTGCTGCTGTTGGAAAAATGCACCATGTCTTTGAAGTAATTGTGAATTGAAAATTAAACACTTTTCACTTAAAAGTTGTTGGAAAAAAGAGCAGGTCACACTGCAATGGGATCATTTATTAAGGTACTTGGATGCTATGCAGGCGATCACAATTTGGTCATAGATTGATGTGTTGGTAGCTGAATCTTTTTCCTTTTCTAGAATATTTAAAAAGAAAAATGAAATGGTTCGCTTCATTGTCAGTCGCAAGTAAAAATGTTCTATTCTTTGGAACATTGAAGATAGGATATGTGTCATGATGTGGTGGAATCAGGCGCTCCTCAATTTTTGGGCAAATGGGGGTTATTAGTATCATCTTAAAGCCTGTTCATTAGGCTTCCGTTTGGTGAAACAAAATAACACATCTATCTTGAATAGAAGTCGAATTATTTGCCAATGAAGGAGGTCAGGACCGCCTGGTTTCAGAGTTAAAATTAGCGAGAAAAGGGCCTCAAAAGTTTAGTAACTTCCATAACCCGCCAGTACTTGGAAACTCAAAGTTTGTATTTTTTTTGTACCTTTAATCAACTTTTTCCAGTAAAATTCCCAGAGATAGGCGTTCTTTAATGGACATGAAAGGTGTTGAAAAATTCGATAAAAATGTCCAAACCTGCGGAAAAATGCCTCTTTCTTCACTTTCATTATTTTGACGATGGTCCGATTTTACCAAGCTGTCTAACATATGCTGTCATTTCTCTCTTTTTCAGTCTCCGATGATGATCTTGCCCTTGCAGGATTGGAAACTTCAGAGGATCCTAAGATTATGGAGGAGAACAAGTAAGCATCATAATGATATAATATGATAGATAGATAATTTATATAGCGTTCGATCCCGATTCAAGAACACAGGCTCTGGGCTCCTTACAAATACAATAGCGACTCATAAACAGTACATTGTGTCATGACTATAATATTGTATTATCTACCTATCTATGTATATATATTGTAGGAATTTATGTTGTCTGTGCGCGTATATGTGTATGTAAGTGTGTTTGTCTTTGTTGAGTGCGTGTGTGCATATGTGTATGTGTGTGTATGTGTGTGTTTCTATTTGTATTTGTATGTGCATGAGTGTGTGTATGTGTGTGTATGCTCATG